AGGTGTGTGATCTGATGACATCTGTGATCAGTTATGTCTGCTGCCCTGGCTGGAGCACAGGGGCAGTGAGTAGGAACCACTGCCCTGCCTGCAGAGTGTCCACAGTCACACCTGCCACCTCTGGGGTTCCACATCAGGGCCTGTCTTGAGAGGCAAGAGAAGGGGGTCTCCTCTGTGACCAGAAGTGTCTCCTCTCCTTGAGGAGGGCAACTCTCCACATGAATAGCTAGTTGTATGGAGTTAGTCCATGGAAGAACTGGGCCTTCATATGGCAGAACTGGGTCTTCTGTTTCCCTTCTCACCCCAGAGCCAAAGATGGGGACTGGACCAAGGGAGGCACATCATAAGTGTCTGTTGAGTCTGAGCTGAAGGACTCTTCCATGGAAGATGAGATCTGGGACAGGGCGTTGGTCAGACTCCAGGGTAGTGGTTTCAGGGGCTTCATTCCATGGTGGGACACAGAGGAGCAGGAGTCCTGGGGGGACACCTGAGAAATCAGAAATGGGACCTGAGAACTTTCAAGCACTTGCAGGTGAGCTCCACAAACAGGCTTTGGTGCAGGCACCTGGGAAGGCCGTGTCTGCATGTGAGAGATAAAGTCTGTGTGCAGCCATGAGGGAGAAGCACAGGCTGCGAATCTGAGAGAACTGACCTCTCAGTCTGCACCTCCACTCTTGTTAAATACCAACCTTGGAGGAGGCAGATGGGTATGAATGTGCCAGCCCATCTCAACACTGTGCTGAGGGTATAAGACTTGGGGCCCAAGGCTTGGGTGGGGCCTGAAGGACCAAGAGCTGGTGTCTCCACCATGGACTGAATCCTGTCTCCCACCTACATGTAGTCACAGGTCAAGTGAGGAGAGTGGTCACTGTCTCCCAAGAACCAGCATCTTCCAGGCCTTACCCCTGTACCATCCCTTCCAACGGTTTATCACCTGCCTCTTAACTGGAGCCCTAATAAGAAATTATTTCCTTTTAAGATATTGTTTATTTATTTGTGAGAGAGATGAAGAGAAGGGAGGCGGCCATAGCAGAATCCTTGCTCAGTGGGGAGCCAAACACAGGACTTCATCTCAGTACATCAGGATCATGACTTGAGCTGAAAGATGATTAACAAACTGAGCCACCCAGGCACCCCCTAATTATAAATTCCTAAGTACAGATTAAAAATGAATAAATTGGGGATCCCTGGGTGGCTCAGCAGTTTAGCGCCTGCCTTCGGCCCAGGGCAAGATCCTGGAGTCCTGGGATCAAGTCCTGCCTCAGGATCCCTGCATGGAGCCTGCTTCTCCCTCTGCCTGTGTCTCTGCCTGTGTGTGTGTGTGTGTGTGTGTGTGTGTGTGTGTGTGTGATGAATAAATAAATAAAATTTTTAATAAATAAATTAAAAATAAATAAAATGAGAAATTGGTAGACCGGACACAGGATGAACTCTGCATTGCCAGTTGCGGGGAAATACTGTAAAAAGTTGTAATCACAGACTGATCCAGAAGCTGGACTCAGGCACTCTGAGGCCATTCAACTCTGTCCTTGTCTGTGGATGGTGGGTTCTGCCTGACTTAGCTGCTCCCAGACTGTGCTCCAAGAATGTATCCTTGAGATTGTGATGTGGTGTTGATGTGGTGTACACAGGCCTCAACATAGTAAAGGCATCTTCATAAACATAAGGCTTAGTGGATGTGTGTGAGGATCTATTTGTCTTGCTGCTGACCAACACAAGCCTTGTATGCAGTCCACCTTTGCTTATTAGTCATCTACTGACCTGGAGTAGCCTTCCTCTTTCTCCTGTCTCTGTTCCCTGTGAGGACAGGAGCCCATTTCTGCTCATACCTGGGAAGCTCCTTAGAGCGTTGGAAATCCACACCAGGTGAGCAGGGCTGGAAACCTGCACTCAGGCACCTGGAATGGAGCAGGGACGTGTGAAGGCAAAGGGCAAGCTGCAGAGAGAGCATGGAGGAGGTCACCGTTGATGTCCTGTAGGAGATGAGGGGTTCTAAGCAGTCTGGGGGCTCTACATACCCAGGATGATCACTGGTCGGGTAATACCAACCACGTGGAGACGTTTCTCTGTGACTGTCTTTGCTGTGTATCCCACATTTGAATTTTTTCCTTTTGTGTATATGTGTTATTACTGTATCCACGAAGCTCAAAACCTAGCCTGACACCAAGGATGAATTCAACACCAGTCTCTTGAATGAATGTGTGAATTCACTGGAATAGGATTCCCATGCAGAGGAATATATCACTTGATGAGATGAGCACTGGGTGTTATACTATATGTTGGGAAATCGAACTTCAATTTAAAAAAAAATGGGGGAATAGATCTAAGGCAAAGACAATGACGTCTGCTTGTGGAACATTTCATATTTGGAGGGCTGAATTGATCAAATAGGAGTTGGGAACTAAGCACTTGATATTGAGACAGAACAAGTGAAGAACACAGTCTTCATTCTTGGTGAAGGTGACAGTCCCATGGACTGGATTCAATGGGTTCCTGCAGGGAAGAAGAAAGGACATGATTAGCCTCCAGCTGCTGATTGAAGAAACAAGAGGGAGGGGCTGGATCATAGAGCATATTCTGAGCACAGAAGACAATGTCCTTGAGCAAATGAACTACAACATACAGGTCAGGTGTATGACCATCTGCTAACAATTCACCAAACCAAGTACCAGGAAAATTGTCATTTGCCTACATAAGCATGAACTTGGTAAAAACACACCATAGGATCAAGAAATTGTAATATTTACTTCCTCATCCAAAATTCCTTGGAAAGTCCCAATTGTGGCAAATCTATCAAACAATGTTGGTGCAGGAGTTCAGATGCAATGAAACTCCGGGACACCTGCACCCCAAAGTTTCTAGCAGCAATGTCCACAATAGCCAAACTGTGGAAGGAGCCTCGGTGTCCATTGAAAGATGAATGGATAAAGAAGATGTGGTCTATGTAGACAATGGAATATTCCTCAGCCATTAGAAACAACAAATACCCACCATTTGCTTCAACGTGGATGGAACTGGAGGGTATTATGCTGAGTGATGTAAGTCATTCGGAGAAGGACAAACATTATATGTTCTCATTCATTTGGGGAATATAAATAATAGTTAAAGGGAATATAAGGGAAGGGAGAAGAAATGTGTGGGAAATATCAGAAAGGGAGACAGAACATAAAGACTCCTAACTCTGGGAAATGAACTAGGGGTGGTGGAAGGGGAGGAGGGCGGGGGGTGGGGGTGAATGGGTGGCACTGAGGGGGACACTTGATGGGATGAGCACTGGGTGTTATTCTGTATGTTGGTAAATTGAACACCAATAAAAAATAAATTTATTATAAAAACAAAACAAAAAAAATTCCTTGGAAAGCCCCCATGATGGCAAATCTATCGATTAATGTTGGTGCAGGAGTTCAGTGTTGACAGAAAAGAAGTTTCTTCACATGGGGGAGGCAAAGATAGAAGCCCAGATATAAATATCTGAGGATAGATTACTCTATTTCTCTCTATTTTTTGACAGTGTGGCGTGCTGTAAACGTATAATCTGCAAAATGACATACATCATGCTTCTGTCATGGTAGCTATTAGAGCAGTCTTTCTTTAAGATTTCATTTATTTATTCATGAGAGACACAGTGAGAGAGACAGAGACATAGGGAGAGAGAGAAGCAGGCTCCCTGTGGGGAGGCCCATGTTGGACTCGATCCCAGGACCCCAGGATCACCCTCTGAGCCAAAGACAGACACTCAACTGCTGAGCTACCCAGGCGTCCCAGGCAATCTTTCTTTTATGACAACATGAAGTAGTGGAACACAACGTAATTTATGGCACAGTAGGTAAAAACTCTTATCTGGAAGCAAAACTGATGGAAAACTAACAATGAACGTTTAACCAAAAACACAGACCAATGAAGTGGTTCAAAGTGTGTAGGGTCTTCTCTGGGGTGAAAATAGTTGCCATTGATGTACATTCCTGAACTTCCTGATATTGGAACACCACTCAAGAGTGAGATACAAAAGAATCAGGTACAATATACTGGAATCGCTGTCTCTAGAAATCAGATGAGAGATGTGAGAATAGACAGGGTCCTGGCAAGTTGCAGAAACCAGCTGGACTCAGGTCTTCAGGCCAGGGTGAGTGTGTGCTCTGCCACCAGCAGGAGACGCTGTGGGACTGCCCTGTGGTCCCTACTCCACTGTTTACTGAAGGCCATTCACACTAAGGAGCCTGGTGCTGGGGGCTGGGCCCTGTGCTCCCTGCTGGGGACTCAGGCCTGGCAGAGATTTCTGAGGGATGTCCAGTGTATAATCCTCTACAATGCACACAACAGCTTCTACCCACAGCCCGGAAAGAGTGTTCCCTGGTCCTCAGTGCTGAGGGAACTTCTGGGAGAAGAGGACTCTCCAAACCAGAGAGGAACCAGGTAAGAGGAAAGAAATCAGCCTCCTGCACAGAACTGGCCATGGGTCAATGTGGACTCATCACTGCTCTGGACGTGATCCTCATCTATGTGGTTCTACAAGAGACATCACCTCAGTCCTGTCCCGTGAATAGCCCAGGGATCTGTGGACAGACTCACTATGTGGAGCATTAATAGGGTAAAAATGTGTCCTGTGGGGATGGGAGGCCACATAAGGGGACATCTGTCCTGGCCCTAAGGAACTTGACAATTGACAGTGTAGTGAGGAGGAAGGAGTTATCCCTAATGGACTCGTGTCACCATGTCGTACAATGCTGTGTCTAGGCCTGGACCCAGGGAGAACCCTTCACATGTTTCTGAGGGATAAGGGTTGATCAGAGCAGAAAACCTGCCACCTGATACTGCCTGTGTCAGGGCTCATAGCTGGGACCTCTGCACCCCTGTCACATGCAGCCCCTCCCATCCCTACCCCTTTGTGTCCTAAGACACAGGGACTAGGGTCTTATTTGCATGGATGGCCCCTCCCTCTCTCAGAGGTTGAATAGGGGAAGGGAGAGATTAGAGGAGGTCTGCTCAGCTGTGGGTCCCCAGAAGACAGGATCAATCACTGATGACCTCCAACATGGCCTGGTCCCTTCTCCTCTTCACACTCCTTGCTCACTGCACAGGTGACTGGATATGGGGAAAGGGGAAGGGATCCTGGGAGGGCACATGGGCTCTGATTTTTCCCCTTTTCTGTAGAAAAGAGCATCACCCTCTCTGTGTCTCTCCCCCTTGCAGGGTCCTGGGCCCAGTCTGTGCTGACTCAGCCGCCCTCATTGTCGGGGTCCCTGGGCCAGAGGGTCACCATCTCCTGCTCTGGAAGCACGAACAACATCGGTATTGTTGGTGCGAGCTGGTACCAACAGCTCCCAGGAAAGGCCCCTAAACTCCTCGTGGACAGTGATGGGGATCGACCGTCAGGGGTCCCTGACCGATTTTCCGGCTCCAAGTCTGGCAACTCAGCCACCCTGACCATCACTGGGCTCCAGGCTGAGGACGAGGCTGATTATTACTGCCAGTCCATTGATCCCACACTTGGTGCTCACACAGTGCTCCGGGCCTGGGGGGAAGTGAGACACAAACCTGCCATCCCCACTGTGATGGGGCTGTCGGTGCAGTCCTGAAAGTTTGGCCAAGTCAGTGCTTCTTTGTTTGTTTGATATAAACAGGCATCTGAGACTCCCCTCAAGGAGTTTATCTATAATTCTTTCCACATTCTCTGAAACTTCTCCTTGAAGCCTGTACTTGGAATCAAGATATTGTATGATTTTTCTAAAATTGAGTACAGATTCTTGGGTGCCAAGGTCAGCTGCCCTGAGGACAGAGTCCATGACAGGTCAGGGCAGAAACAAGGACCCTGAATCCAGCTCTGAGTCAGGACACATCAGGAGTGTCCAATATGTGTCCTGCTACCAACAGCTCCATGAATGGGCAGTCAAATCCTCATGTATTATGATGGCTGGACTTTCTGTGGACCCTGGTCCATTCTCTGGCTCCATGTCTGGCAGCTCTGGTCTCTAGCCATTGCTGGGCTGAGCCAGGAGGATGAGGTCATGCTTCACTGCTCCTCCTGTGACAGCATTTCAAGGCTCACATAGAATCCCAGGTCCTTGAGAACGGAGACCAGAAACCCCTTTGTCATCTGCTGGGAGGGGGAGGCCCCAGCAGCTGCTCTGACTCAGTGTGTGGCTCCTGTGTCTGCTGTTCCTGTTGCAAACATGGGTCCAGGTCCATGCAGGGCAGCCACCTGGGTCTCAGAGTTACTCCTTCCCTTGTGTCCCCAAAGACATTCACTGTATCATCTTCCTAGAAAAAAGGCCTCAAAGAAAAAAAAGGTCTCAAAGGACACAGAAAGGTCATCTCCCCCATCATGTTGTGACACAGGGTCTCTTTCTACTGAAATACATGGAATGGGGGTGCCAGGGCCAGGGTGCCCACCTCCCACCTGACCTCTGAGGAATCCAGGATCTCCATCCTTGGTCATTTAGCTATTTCTAGAAGTTTCCAGACTCATGGAATCCTCTTACTCATCTTCAATACGATTGCCTGTCCTTTTTGCTCATTGAGTGATTGCTTCTGTCACTGATGCACCAATTCCAGAATATCTATGTCTGAATCATATATTTGGATGTTCTGACATAACTCCCTTTCCATTCTCAATAATGTTGAATCCTTTTTTTTTTATTTAGGATCTATGATCCAGACTTTTCTTTTTTTTTAAGGTTTTATTTATTTATTCATTATAGACAGAGAGAGAGAGAGAGAGAGAGAGAGAGAGAGAGAGAGAGAGAGAGAGGCAGAGACACAGGCAGAGGGAGAAGCAGGCTCCATGCTGGGAGCCCGACATGGGACTCGATCCCGGGACTCCAGGATCGCACCCTGGGCCAAAGGCAGGCGCCAAACCGCTGAGCCACCCAGGGATCCCCCAATGTTGAATCCTAATCAGGATTTTTTTTTGTTCACTTACATCCTCTAATACTTGAAGAAAGATGTTGAGTTTATTTATTTAATTTTAAAGATTTTATAGATTTATTCATGAGAGGCACAGAGAAAGATAGAGGCAGAGACACAGGCAGATGGAGAAGCAGGCTTCATGCAGGGAGCCCAATTTCGGACTTGATCCTGGGATTTCAGGATCATGCCCTGGGTCCAAGACAGGCGCTAAACCACAGAGCCACCCAGGGACCCCCAAGATATTGAGTTTAATGGTATTTAGGTCAAATTTGCACATTCCTGAAATGGTAGAAATGTCTTCCCTCTACCTCCCCATTAGCTATTTTCCTCGGTGTGAGACAGAGTTCTATGTGTCTGGGAGAGAGTGTGTCATCATTGTAAAATTCCTCTGTTTCTATTTATGTGAATTTTATGAGGACTTTGCTTTCACATAGACAACAGTTCTTTGTAGGTCTAGCGAGATCATGTAATTTGATTCTGTTAATTCATTAGTATGACTGTTACTAGAGCAATTATCTTTATGAAAACCCACTGCATATCTATAATAATTCACAATGGTTATAGGGTCTGAATATATTAGTCTGCAATGCAATCTCACTGTTCATAATTTATTTAGAACACTTGAATCACTATTTCTTTTTTTTAGTTCACAATATTCTGCAATCTTTCTATTTCTGTACTCTATGTGTCATTTGTATGTATCCCTATTGTCGTTTTTCCATAAGAGTTTAAAATTTCTATTGTTTTAAATATCATATATATATGACTTATTTATTTTTAGAGAGACGGAGAAAGGACGAGAATGAGTGGGGGAGAGGCAAGGGGAAGGGAGTGAGGGAATCTCTAGCAGACTCCCCACTGAGTGCTGAATCTGACATGGTGGGACTCGATCCCATGACACTGAGGTCATGACCTGAGATAAAATGAAGAATCAGACACTCAAACTCTTTTCTGGCTGGAACCATGGAGAGTGCAGAAGAGAAGAAAAAAAGGGTTCCTGCTGTGCCAGAAACCCTTAAGAAAAAGCAAAGGAATTTCACAGATTTGCAGATAAAGTGTCTGAGAAAATGTTTGCACAAAAGATGCTTTGAAAGGCAAGGAAGCTTATCTATGAAAAGGCTAAGCATTATTGCAAGGACTCCAGGCAGATGTACAGAACTGAGATGCGAATGGCGAGGATGGTGAGAAAAGTTGGCAACTGCTCTGTGCCTGCAGAACGCAAATTGCCGTTTGTCATCAGTATCGGAGGTATAAGTCATTCGGAGAAGGACAAACATTATATGTTCTCATTCATTTCGGGAATATAAATAATAGTGAAAGGGAATATAAGGGAAGGGAGAAGAAATGTGTGGGAAATATCAGAAAGAGAGAACATAAAGACTCCTTTTTATTTTATTTTACTTTTTTTAGTAAATTTATTTTTTATTGGTGTTCAATTTACCAACATACAGAATAACACCCAGTGCTCATCCCCCCTCAGTGCCCGTCACCCATTCACCCCTACCCCCCGCCCTCCTCCTCTTCCACCACCCCTAGGTCGTTTCCCAGAGTTAGGAGTCACTCATTTTCTGTCTCCATTTCTGATATTTCCGACACATTTCTTCTCCCTTCCCTTATATTCCTTTCACTATTATTCATATTCCCCAAATGAATGAGAATATACATTGTTTGTCCTTCTCCGATTGACTTACTTCACTCAGCATAATACCCTCCAGTTCCATCCACGTTGAAGCAAATGGTGGGTATTTGTCGTTTCTAATGGCTGAGTAATATTTCATTGTATACATAAACCACATCTTCTTTATCCATTCATCTTTCGATGGATACTGAGGCTCCTTCCACAGTTTGGCTATTGTAGACATTGCTGCTAGAAACATCAAGGTGCAGGTGTCCGGCTTTTCATTGCATCTGCATCTTTGGGGTAAATCCCCAACAGTGCAATTGCTGGGTCCTAGGGCAGGTCTATTTTTAACTCTTTGAGGAACCTCCACACAGTTTTCCAGAGTGGCTGCACCAGTTCACATTCTCACCAACAGTGTAAGAGGGTTCCCTTTCCTCCACATCCTCTCCAACATTTGTGGTTTCCTGCCTTGTTAATTTTCCCCATTCTCACTGGTGTGAGGTGGTATCTCATTGTGGTTTTGATTTGTATTTCCCTGATGGCAAGTGATGCAGAGCATTTTCTCATGTGCATGTTGGCCATGTCTATGTCTTCCTCTGTGAGATTTCTGTTCATGTCTTTTCCCCATTTCATGATTGGATTGTTTGTGTCTTTGGAGTTGAGTTTAATATGTTCTTTATAGATCTTGGAAACTAGCCCTTTATCTGATACGTCATTTGCAAATATCTTCTCCCATTCTGTAGGTTGTCCTTTAGTTTTGTTGACTGTATCCTTTGCTGTGATAAAGCTTCTTATCTTGATGAAGTCCCAATAGTTCATTTTTGCTTTTGTTTCTTTTGCCTTCATGGATGTACCTTGCAAGAAGTTACTGTGGCCAAGTTCAAAAAGGGTGTTGTGAAGAGGGAGAGTTTGACTTCTTCCTTGCCAATTTAAATGCCTTTAATGAATTTTTGTTGTCTGATTGCTGAGGCTAGGACTTCCAGTACTATGTTGAATAGCAGTGGTGAGAGTGGACATCCTGTGTTGTTCCTGATCTTAGGGGAAAGGCTCCCAGGGCTTCCCCATTGAGAATGATATTTGCTGTGGGCTTTTCGTAGATGGCTTTTAAGATGTTGAGGAATGTTCCCTCTATCCCTACACTCTGAAGAGTTTTGATCAGGAATGGATGCTGTATTTTGTCAAATGCTTTCTCTGCATCTAATGAGAGGATCCTATGGTTCTTGGTTTTTCTCTTGCTGATATGATGAATCACACTGATTGTTTTACGAGTGTTGAACCAGCCTTGTGTCCCGGGGATAAATCCTACTTGGTCATGGTGAATAATCTTCTTAATGTACTGTTGGATCCTATTGAATAGTATCTTGTTTAGAATTTTTGCATCCATGTTCATCAGGGATATTGGTCTGTAATTCTCCTTTTTGGTGGGGTCTTTGTCTGGTTTTGGAATTAAGGTGATGCTGGCCTCATAGAACGAATTTGGAAGTACTCCATCTCTTTCTATCATTCCAAACAGCTTTAGTAGAATAGGTATGGTTTCTTCTTTAAACATTTGATAGAATTCCCCTGGTAAGCCATCTGGCCCTGGACTTTTGTGTCTTGGGAGGTTTTTGATGACTGCTTCAATTCCTCCTTGGTTATTGACCTGTACAGGTTTTCTATTTCTTCCTGTTCCCGTTTTGGTAGTTTGTGGCTTTCCAGGAATGCGTCCATTTCTTCTAGATTGCCTAATTTATTGGCGTAGAGCTGTTCATAATATGTTTTTAAAATCGTTTGTATTTCCTTGGTGTTGGTAGTGATCTCTCCTTTCTCATTCATGAGTTTATTAATTTGAGTCTTCTCTCTCTTCTTTTTAATAAGGCTGGCTAATGGTTTATCCATCTTATTAATTCTTTCAAAGAACCAACTCCTGGTTTTGTTGGTGTGTTCCACAGTTCTTCTGGTCTGATTTCGCTGAGTTCTGCTCGAAAATTAATCAACTCTCTTCTTCTGCTGGGTGTAGGATCTATTTACTGTTTTTTCTCTAGCTCCTTTATGTGTAAGGTTAGCTTT